AAAACTTGAATATTTTTAAACCTGACAATAAAAACAAAAACCAAATTGTATCTTCTTTCTTATAAAGGCAAGAATTTAAATATAATGCCTAATGCCAAAAATCAGGTTAAGAGGTCAAAATAGAAATATATATATATATAGGGTATATATTTTCTACAATGCTTTGTACTAATTTTATATTTAAGAACATTATAACCAATTTGATTAGGGATACATTATAATAAAATGGAATCTAATAAATTTTCATCAAAGAAAATAAATGTTCTCTGTTGTGACTTTGGCAGGTTTCTTCATGTCTGTTTAAATATGTACAGTAACTCAGATTCCCTTACTTCACAAGACTGTTTCCTACAGTGTTGGGTGGTTCTATTTTTATATCTTATAAAAGTTTTACTTTTATACAGAATAAACCTGCTTTCTTAGACTATTCATTGACCCTCCTTTCACCTTGGAACTCTTCGTTATATATCTGTTTCTTAAAAATTACCTTCCTACAAATGCTTAAAAATTATTTCAACTAAAGACATGTTCATGTTAAATGTCTACAACTGTCTTCAGTAATTTCCAGTATGCTCTTCCGCACACAATCCAGTTGGCCATTACCCTGTTCATATGAGTAGAGTTTAAAATCATGCACAGTGGAATAGGCTAAGATTACAGTAGACACTCTTTTATGTTTCCTTTGTTCTATCAACCACAACTTCATTTTATTCTCTTTATATAAAACTCTTAAGGTAGGTCTTTTGATTATGAAATTCATATTTCACATTTTCATAACCTTTGTGCTGAATTTATCTACTTATTCGTTCTATAACTACCAGTGCCAAGGACGACCCCAGGTGCTGGAGATGTATCGCTGAGCACAGACACTTGGATCACAATGCCCATATTGTCTCTAGAAACAGTCAGACATTAATCAAATAATCACAGCAACAAGGGTATGATTACAAACTGAGATACATGCTCGAAAGAGAAAACGCAGTTTATTGCCCACGTATATAGTTACTTTCTTCTCTTATTAGATGTGTCCTATACATCCACTTTGGGGATGTTTTGAATCTGTAATATTTTATCCAACATATTCGTTATCCCTCTTAGCTTTGTGTCATCTGAAATATTAATAAGCATATTAACATGTCTTTAGGCAAATCATTTACCCAGATTTAGTTAAATAAAAATAATCACTTCATTTGAAAAATAAAATCAGTTTGAAAATCATTTTCCATATCTAGTTAAATAAACAATCACATTGTCCCAGCTTTCAGCACAAGGCTATGATGAGGATCAAATGAGATATTTTACCTGAAGGCTCTCTGTGAACTATAAAATGGGATACTATATCAGACATCATTATTATTTTCCTGAGTATACACACCAAAAGCCGAAGAGTTTTGTTTGTGTAATTAAAGCTTCCATTAATCCATTCATCAGTAAGCATTAGGTACATTTGTCCAACCAGTTAAAATGTATCCACTTGTGTTAGTATTTGGTCCATTTGGTTAGTAGTTTCTCCATTTTGTCTATAAAGATATCATGGAAGATATCAAGGCTTACTGAAATCAAGATATATATTTCCCTGAATTTTCCATTTCATTACTGCATCATTCATTCAACTAGTTGGTTGATCAAAGCAAGTAAATATAATTTTGGGCCTCTTCTTTCACATCCTTCTCAGCAATATCATTACTTGTCAAAGAATCAATGGGAAAAAAATGCCTGCCAGCTTTTTACTTACTGCACTTTCTCTTTCCAAATTTCTGTATTTTATCTAATGTTTTTAAATATGTTATGCAAATGGATAAGCACAGTACATTTTTTCTCCTTTTTAGACTCTTTAAATTGTGTTTCCAATTTCAAAGATAACTCTTCTCTTTTCTTTCATTTAATACTGACTGCAGGTGGATTCTTCTTAACGAGCCAGAGGTGTGGATTCACACTGAGAACATATGAGGATTAAACACAGCTTTCAAATAAACTTTCCTCCATCTAGTTTTTCCTCTTGGAAAAGGGGAGTTATAAAAGGTGATTTTATCCATTTGTAATAAAAATTTATTTCTGATACATTCTATAGCACTTATCACAATAATTAACTCAGCAATTAACATTCTTTGCTGATAAGCATCCCTTGAACAGCAATAAATAGGGAGGGAAAACACCTAACATATATTTCAGCAAATGTCAAAGCACTACTTTTCATTGTCTCACTCAAAACTCAACTGAAACCATTACACTAATTAGAATGTGTGTGCTCTTTTACCTGGCAAGTAACTACTCCAGGTGAGTAAACACCAAACCAAAACGCTGTAAACTAACAACCAACTCCAAATTCCATATTTTATTTAAATTGACATTTGTTAAATTTTTATTTTTAGTACGGCTTGTATACACACAATCACACTTACTGCTTCAAGTGTAATTTTATCACTAGTTTAAAAATTCATTCACTCATTCTCTTCCAAAATATTTACTGATTGCCTATGATGTTCCAAGTACTATTTTAGGCACTTGGGATATAGCATTCATTAAACAAACTAGCAAGAAAATAAATAAAAATTGCTTTCCTGATAAAGCTTATATTCTATCAGACAGAAAGTTATAAATTAACAAAATAAATTAGAAAAAATATTTTAAAATGATAAATTCTATGGAGAAAAATAGAGCAAGTTGAGGAGACGGAGACTGTCTGAAATGGGAAGGGGCAGGTTGTGATTTTACTTGCTGACAGGATAAAAGGTCACCCTTGATCTCATTAAGAAAGTGACATTTTATCAAAACCTTAAGGCAAAAGAGGGAATTAGTCATGGGGGTGCTGGGTGGAGGAAGCAGCTAGAGCAGAGGCCCTAAGGTGGGGACATCTGCGGCATGAGGAGGAAGACAGTGTGACTGGATCCGGTGGGGAAGAGCAATGAAGGTGGGGTTAGAGACTTAAGGGGAGCAAAGTCATGGAAGGCCTTTTAGAACATTGCAAAAACTTTAGCTTTTACTTTGAGGGGCATGCGGAGACCAGGCAGAGTTATAAGTAAAGGTTGGATTCATTTTCATTTCTATTGCAAAGGATTACTCTGCCTGAAAACAGATTTATTTTGGCATTTGTAGATACCGGGGCATGATATTACAGGCTATTGCAATTATCCCGATGAGAGATGGTGATGATTTATATTAGAGTAAAAGCAATAGAGGGGGGTAGTCAGAAGTAATCATAGTCTAAGTGTTTCAAAATAATTCAAACACAGTAAAAAGTAAAAATAATAGTATAATGAGCCTCATATACCCATCACCAATAAAGAATTACCAAGATTTTGTCATATTGGAGGGGGAATGCCAAGACGGCGGAGTAGGACACACAGCTCACCTCCTCCAAGAATACACTGAGAATTACATCTAAAGACCCATTGATTCCCACGGAACACCTACTGAACTTTGGCAGAACATCTTTTACTTTAAAATACAAGGAGATTCTTCACAAAAACTGATAGAAGAGAAAAAAAAAGGAAAAAGGAAATTAGCGCAGGACCCATCCCATGGCGAGGGAGCAGCAAAGAAGGGAAAGTGCTCACTGTCATGCTGGGATGCCCTCTTTCCAGCTGGGAGGTCAGCGGGGACAGAAAGGAAGCTTCTGAGGCTCAGAAGGGAAAACAGAAATCTCTTGGCCGACAGAACTGAGAGAAGCCCGAACAAAGGTTCCCTGCGATTCCCAGCCAGGCATGCGAGCCGGCAAGTGCAGGCCAGGACTGGCTTCTGGAGCTCAGTGAGAAGCCTAGGGAGAGGCATGTGGCCAATTGCATAGAGGCAGCCTCAGGAGGCTGGAGTGTGGTACAGGCTGTGGCTGGGAGTGTGTGCAGAACAGAACAGCCTGGGACCCCCATATAAAAGCAACA